AAACATAAACACTTAAAGAAATATAACTAGGGGGCTGGCAACACGCTGCTTTCAAAGGGCTGAGCGCCCTGCTCAGCGCTTTATTTATCACTGCCCACGTTCTTCGGATGGTAAGTGGACATGGACACAAAGGGCAGGGGGGAGCAGACAACGCTTGCAATTTACTCAATTGCAGAGGAATGCAGCAATGCGGCAGGGTGACAGATTCCTATTAGCACTAATGCTGAAAGAGCCCAGTGGCCTTTCCGCCACAAGGCAGCATTCCCATTGTAACTTAGACTCCGGCACAACCCGCCTTGGCTAGTCTTTTAACATGCATTAAGTGTCATGGAGGCACGGAAATTATTTTTTTGCTGTTGTGCGAGAATAAAGGGAAAAAGAATTTGACAGGAAGAACTAAGGATGTACTTCTAGCAACGTCGGGAGACTTTTCAACCAGCAACTCTTTACTTACAAGCAAACATTAATGGCATTAAGAGATGAGGGAACCAGGATAACTTTATAGACCAGCTACATCCTGCCTTGGCCAGCTCTCCAAAGGAAGGCAAATCTGCCCTGCAGCTTCTTCCCAGGAGGGAAGGCGAGAGGGAGCTGGAGGACCCTCACTCCTCCCCATCCTGTAACCTTCCTCACCGGCTGAAAAGAGGGCTTCAACTTTGCACGGCAGAAATACTTTTGGAGAGGAGGAATACACCTGGAGAGGAGCCCTGAGCAGCGGAATGAGGCTACCAGTCAGAAGGAAACAGTTGATGGTTGCTACTTTTTGTCTTTCCTTTGCTCTACCTTCTTTAACCGCTTTCTGCTTCTTATGGTTTGCTTGACTGTCAGCTTTAAACTCTTAGGACCGGACTGTGCATCTTTTAACACTGAAATAGCGCCCAGAGCATGTTTTAGGTGCTACATCTAATTTTACAAAATTATCTCAAATCTGTAAGAGTGAATTGAGGTAATATTCTGTGCCAAAACAGTAAGAGGGAAAAAAAAAAAAATCTTAAAAATGCTAAGGGGCCTGTTTGACCGGGGTAACAGATAGGGATTTTCTTCCCCCAGACTTCCATCTGGAAGCTTACAGAAAAATCGCGGAGTCCAATGTGAGGTTTGCAGGAGGTACGGTGCGGCAGCCCTGCTGCTGCCAGCATTTCCCCACAAGGCACCTTCGCCCACAGTCAAACCACAGCAGCAAAAGGCACTTCATTATTGCTGCCCCGAAGAGAAGGGAGGGAGGGTTTTAAACAACTTGCATTGTGCCCGTCTTCTTTAAAAAACAGTGGGGTAATCAAGTTCAGGGCAGCCCCGGACAGCTGCCCTGTGACCTATTCATGTTGACCCCCACTATTCATCACTTTCCTCAGGACTATGAGGGCAAGCTCCCGGGGAGTGACCACCACAATAGACAGATACGAGCCAACAATAATACAGTTCCTGGAAAAAAAAAAACCAACACAAACCCACACAAAAAAACCCAGATGGCACTGCAATAAATTTACAAATCTGCATTCATGGCTCTGTTAAAAACACCCAGAAGCTAAAAGGCTGGAGGGGCCCCCAGAGAGCTTCCCCTTCCCCGTTTCTAAAGGCCGGCTCTCTCCCCAAGACTATTGAGCTCATGTTCTTCATAAATGAAGAATGGAGATATAGCCCTTAAAATAACAAATGCCTGACCTAATCAATCTAGCGTTTGGGTCTAACGCTAAACGATAGGCACTGAAAACTAATTATGTTTTTTGGCAAGGAAGTTGAATTAAAATGGAAACACACAGGTTAAAAAGGCACTGAAGCATTTGGAGTCCCTTTGAAAGGGCAGCACGCACACACACGCTCACATGCAGGGCTTGAAACAGGAACCTGATTCAATAACTCATGCATTTATTTTTAAAATGAATCAGATTAGTCCCATGTGTGACCTGCCGGTCCATCTGTATGAGCTGGACTTAATGGGCACTCTTCTCACGCTTACTTCAGTTTGAAGTATGAGAGAGATAAATTTAGTTTAATTTTCAACAGATCAAGCTATCCATTTTCCAAATGGACCATCTGGATCAGCCTATTAAAATTAATTTATAACTTTGCAGTGTGAAAATTCGTTTGTTAGCTTAAATAAAGTTGCCAAAAACTTTTGCCACTTGTTATTGTTTTTTTTTCCTGAAGTCTGTTTTCATATTATGATTTTCAGTTACCCCTTCAAAACTTAATTCTGTCAGATCAAGCACTCAACAAGAACCGAACATTTGCATCCCTACTTCAAAGTCTGTCACAACTTAGATCTTTTCGTTGTTCCAGCTAACAATGCCAAGTGCATAGCCTTTTTCTCTTCCCCTTCCCAGGGCTAACCATGTCTCTTCTATGTTCCTGCCCCTCAGGCATCCACGAGTGTCAATGCCTCCCACTTCCAGCACTCCAAGGACACAGCTCCACTAATTAAGACACCTTTCTCCAAAAAATATTTAAATCAACAGGAGATAATAAACAGAGATATTTTGCCTAGTAAGAGGTCCATAGCACTGAACAATTGGTATCTTTAGCCCCTACTTACAGCTTCAGATGCTTTATTACCTCTGCCTTCTGGTACATCGGTTCCACACACTCACCTGAGAAAACATTTATGGCTAAGGCCACATACCAGCACCACAAATAAGGCCACAAGAAAAGGTAATGCACCTTTACCTCAACTTGCCAGCAGCTAAATATATCAAGACATCATACTTCCCTTGAAGTGTTCTGCTGAATCTCATTAATTTTCTAAAACTAACCAAGAAGTACTAAATACGTGGACACTTTCACTAGAAAGTCCATTCAGGTAAACAAAGTTCTCACCTACCTGTGTATGTACGTCCACATTCCCCTACAATGAAATTTTAACAGTTGTGTCTTAGAGGAGGGACAGAAAATATGGAACTGTACACTCAGTATTTACCAAGTTAACATCTCTCCACTATGGTGGAAAGCACTTATGTGTATTACTGCTTTGACAGCTTTGGCAGGTAGATGTTCTTGGTTTTACAAAGTGTGGATAAATGTACTCTGCTCACCTTCCTGTAGGAGACGCAGATCTTTCCAGTAAGTATCACTCTGCTCACTGATTACGAGTTTATGGGCACATGGCTGCATATGTGTCTGATTTCTGCAAGTGGAGTTGGAAAACTTCCCACTGCTTCTTGTCCATTCTACTAGGGAAGTGATTTGAGCTTTGAAAATGCTCACACAGCTTTATTTATGGCTACACAAACAAAAATTCCTTCTACAACAGACACGAAACCATGGTCAACCACCTCCTATGATCTAGACAAGAGGACATGTGCTTTGAGAATAAGACCTCCTCTTGCACTTGTCCACAAACACTGTCCTTAACACAAGATGTTCCAGATAGCAACCAGAAGACTCAAGGATTTTGTCCTGCATCTGTCACTGTAAAGACTGGACACAAAGATGGAGACTGATACAATACCTCAACAATACCGTGAAACATAGCCAACCATCTTCGATGTAAACCATGTCCATATGAAATACTTCCAATATGAAATATTTGGACAGCATAAGTAGGTTTTTTAAGTATAGTCTTGATATCTAGTCACCTTGGTCATGATGAATTGTGGGCCTGTTGTAAGACAGCTTTCTCTGGACACCAACAATACTTCTGCAGATTGAAATATAAGGGAACAGAAACCTAAGACAAGAAATCTTATCTTCTTGATTGATGTAATACTGCTCATGAATATTTGTCTCCTTAATCAATAATCAAGAGGAGGGACTCAGTGCAATGAAAAGGCAAACAAAACAGGTAACTCATGCTCCTTTTTTGATTTAGTATCTCTTACTTGGAATCTTTTCTTGGGGAAGAGACATTCATCTTTTCTTGTTGAACCTGAAGGCTTGCCATCAATAAGATACTGCCAAGATTTAAAAAAAGTTTTCTGGTGTGCTGAGGACCTTGGCTATCCTATGGATACACAGTAGGGACCTAGTAGCTTTGTCCTCCTCCTTTAGCTTTCATTGTTTGTTGCTGAATGCCAGAAACATTTTAAGTTTGGTATAACATATTTAAACAACCCCCAGACCCAACAACTCTGAGCAGAAGCATGATATAAAAAAGATTTCTTCCTTTAGTATGCTTCTGCCCCACAACTGCTCTTGGAAATAGCAGCAGTCGTACCACCCTATTCCTCTGCCTGAGACTGCAGCTCCTGTGGCTGGGGTGCAAAAGGAACCGTGCCAATTCCTCAGCTGTTGCAGTGTGGTCCGAGATATTCACTCAAGTCACGTTTTACTCTGATACACCAGGCAGCAACCTCGGGCAGCTGAGGCACACACACGTATTTTTGCTTCTGGTGTCTTAAGGGTTGCAGTGGAGAGAAAGCAAGGTGAAAAGGTAGTTGAAATCACTAAATCCAACTTCAATCCCCTAGAAATCACAAGCCAGACTTCCTTTGTGACCATGGGGATTAAAAAAAAGTGATTCTTTTGAATTGGTAAGAAATCTGCTTTACTATATATAAAAGGCAAAGATATTATGCTTTATCAGACCACTCCTTCTCCATTCTACACATTAGTAATTTATTTGAGTGCAGAAGAAACAAGAACAGGCCATTTTTCTGGTTATTAACTCAGACATCTCCAAGAAAATTTACCTTCAAGGGCAACGAAAAGCTTAATTGTTGTTGAACACTTTGAGACTCTTGATCTGAAGGAAGGCAAAATATACTACAAACAAGATGAAGAAAAGGCTGAAGAGGTCTTGATGAACACCAAACAGAGAAAGGTAAAAAACAGAGTCACAGCTGACTGCACTATACAGAAGTCTAGATTTCTTTAGACTCATCAAACACTCCTGAAAGCTAAATCTTTGTGTCTGCTTTTCCTGGGTACAACGTGATTTGTTCAGATTTCAAAGGAGCAAAGAAAGGATTTCCATGAGTACAACTCAGACTTCAGCTTCCAGAAGCATTTAAGGATTCAAACAGCTAGAAAGTTTTATTGCATTTTTAAAGAGACTGATCACATACCTGTCTAAGTGAATTCTTCTCGGGAATGATCTTCCTAGGGGGCTCATCATTATTACAGTCTTCTCTCTCAGAAGAATTCTGTGAAAGAAAGTAAGCTTTAATTCAGTTCTTATCCCTAATACCCTGCGAGGAGAAAAGAAACAGAATATTTGTACTACACAGGCTGTAGTATTTTACGCGTACCTATACTGGAGGCTAACTTGTAGTTTTAAGTCAACAGCTTTTTACAGCAGAGGAAGAACTCCTCAACACAACAATGCATCACTGTGCAGGTATCTATTAAAGAAGCCTGTGCTTTGGGGATTTAAAATGAAACTACCAGTAACGGCCACCTCAAAAAGCTGAAGTGGTGGTCGGATCAGCACGACAACACCAGTGGTCCTGAACGTTCCAGAATAACTATATTAAACTATATTAAACAGTGTAATCTGTGGAAAACAAAGGGTTGTTAATGGGTGCCACTGTTGTTTGCTGTATCCCTACATTTTCAATCTGCCTAACAATTATAAATTGCACAGAGTCTGTGCAAATAATTGTGTGGGTAGCATATGTGATTATGGCTTTTTTTAACTCCTGCCCCCTGACTCTACATATATGTATAACTTCTAGAAAGACTGATGCGCCAAAGCTTAAGTTGACACCTTCAAAAAAAACCCCAAAAAACCCCCAACATCTGTAAGACAAGAGAAGGTGGACAAGAAGAAACAGAAGGGCTTTTCCAGCATGGGTAAGAAAGACCACCATGAGACTTCTGTCCTGTTAACCACACGATTAAAATCATTACCTGCTTTCAAATAAAGACAGGCTATAGTTTATCCCAGGACATTCACAGTCTGTAGCAAACATTTGGTTAAAATCTGCTGGGTGCATGGTGGGAATGCTGCCCGCACTGCCAAAGCCAGCTACTCTGGGAGGCAGCGTTCCTTCACACGGGTTCAGTCACCATGTTGACAGAGTAATGACAGCCAGCTTTGGGGGAATCCCACACACACACACATCTAAAATCAGTTTGATCACCACAGCATTCATAGCCTTAGGCCACATTCCTACGCATTCAGTAGCAAGCAACTAAACAGGTTTTAAAGAGATACAGAAAAACTGCTTAGGGAGAGCTCTGCCAGGAAAAGGGTGATTTTTCAGTTACTTGCAGACAAGCTCAGGAGTGTGTATTTTAAGGCAGAAGTTTGCATTCTGTGTCTCTCCCCCTTTGTCCCCCAAATAACTTGTCCTTCACTGAGCAGAGGTCTGCCCAGCTCCTCAAAGAGCCAGCAGTGGCATCTGCTGGCAAAGGAGGAGCCGGGCCCTGGGACCAGCCAGGAGGACAGAGCAGGGCCAGCAGACAGCAAGTGGCTTTGGGAAGCCACTGGAAGAGCAGAGCGCTTGCTCCCGTGCCCACCGCAGCCCTTGGGCACCGGCTGGGCAGCACAGGTTTGCTGGTTTGGTAAAAGAGGAAGAGGTAGTCAGGAGGTAGGGCAGGGGTAGAAGTTGTCTGCTAAGAAACAGAAGATAAAGGGATGGGGGAACACACCAAAAAACCCAAATAAAAACCCCCACTTGTGATGTCATAAACTCATCAGGAGGATTCTGTGTAAATCAAAGCTTGCAGACCAACCAGTGGTTTTGGGTACGTGGCATCATGATATCCAGGCTGCTGTAACTGGGGTTTTATAACAGAAATCAATCCTAAACAGGCTTGATAAATCACCCTAAGAGGCCAGCTTTTAAAAGTTTTCATATGAGGTCTCAGCCATATTAAATCAAAAAAAAAACATACAAGCTAGAATCACCAAAAAGGCGGGTCAGATGCTCTTTTCTGCTCGTGAAAGACAGTTTAGTAAGTGGTTAATTTAAGTGAGGATTTTAAATTTTGCGCTTTGTTGAAAAAGACCAAGTGTGAGAAACCTAACAATCTGAGGTGACTTACTATGCATTTCCAGGAAACGCATTTTGTTGGGGGAGTTAGAGAGTTGTTTACTATTTCTGGATGCTTTTTCAAGATCCACCTCCTCACCTACAACAAATGCCAAACGATTTCCCCTTTCAAATAATCTTTCTACAACAGCGAAATCTTGCGTTCTTCTCGCCTTTCAAAGCCATTAAGGATCCTTCCTCAAAAGAAAAATCAAAAAGCAGAAAAAACAGTGCTGCTGGTGAACTGTCAGGCTTTATTTTGGAATTTCTAGTTACTGCAAAGCATCAAATTATCTACTCTTTCTTTAAGCCGAGCATCTAATTTTAAGAGCAAGCAGAGGACCACTTTGCATTCATTATCTTTCTAGGTGGCAAGGCTAAGAGGTTGGCTGAACAAAGACCAGACAAAGACTGCCAAGTGCATATGGTGGTTCACAGCTTGGCGTCTCACCATTCTACGGCACCAACACAGCAGCTCTGATCACAGACTATTAAAGAGGAGCGCTGCTCATGCACTTTTGTCGGCAAGTAAGTTACGCTCGGTGAAGATGGAATGACTGGAAAGCATTACACTTAAGGAAAAGCACAGATGTTTAGATCTCCCACACATTTCTCAAGAATTGGGAACCCATCAATCCAGGTGCAGGTATAAGACCCTGCATATTTCAGGACTCACTGTAGCCGCGTGGAAGTGAATTTCACTTGATACAGCAACACATAGCCACGGCCACAGGAAGAGCATAACGTAAATCGACTGAAACGGTACACCTATATATTTCTCCTTGCTGAACAAGGTGGGAGGAGGGATAAACACGCGCGAGGTCAGAATAAGGTTTGCTTCAGCAAGATGCTCTCTGCCGCAAGAGGAGCCAGACAAAGGGAGGAACCGCTCCGAGCACCCTCTCGTGGTTACTGAAACGCACGTCTCGGGCACAGACCTGGAAAGAAGCATTTGGTATCCAGACGGTGAGTTGGGTGTACTCACTGGGAATATTAAAGATCTGCAGCGACTGTACTTGGTACGTAGTAGAGGCATTTGTCAGGGTGAAAGAAGTGAAAAAAAAACAATGCACACAGAAAGCTGAAAAACCATACAAACTCCTTTCCGTCAGAGAAAATTTTTGAAATCCCGTAGGCAAGCCTTCCTACACAAAATAAAAACAGACCGGTGAAAAGTGCAGGGGTGTCTCCTTTTGAACAAGTACAAGCAAGATAAGATGAGACGTGTTTAAGTCTCCAAAGCACAAATTGATCAATCTGGGCAAGATAAAAACTTTCCCCCACGCCTTTCCACAGACAGATAAAATAGGGTTTTTTCACTTGCTCAAGGTCACACAATGACATTGGAAGCATTGGAAAGAGAAGCCAGGAAACTCAAGCTCATAGTTCTCGTAACCTTCAAAATTTCCCTTTGGCAGTAGGTTCCTGTAAAGGGGCTCTGCCCTCCTTAGCTCATTTTTCCTAAAATGGCTACTATCTTAATGAGCTCCTTTTAAATCTGATTTGCATTTAAAACTTCAGCCTGTAATTAACAGAATACAACTCCATAGCAGGTTGTCTTAAAAGACCACTATGAAATTATTACTGTGTAACTCTCCCCGAGACGCCTTCTCCACTGCTAAACACAACATGCTGCAACGCATCCCAAGTCCCCAGGCTGAAGCGTTTGACTGGAGACGACACGCAGTATTTTGTGTTCGCAGCCCAGCAAAACACTGCTGGGAACGAGATACCATAGACAGAGAAATGCACTCCCAGGGACCACCAATTGGGCAGAGCTACCTTTAGTACCGCCTCACTTGTCGTGGTGGAAATCCAACCCCTGCCAACTGGGGGAGGCTTGCTTTGGTGCTGTTCTGCCCGCACTAATTATAAAAGAGCCCAGACGCAGCCTTTTTCCAAGCATGGGGAGGTGGGGGTGGGAGAGAAGCATGCGTCTATGCAAAGAGCACAACTATTTTTTATGCTTTCAAATTCTTAATCCTGTTTGGAGCTGTCAGTGGGGGTTAATGGAAGCCTTGGATAGGAGAATTCCAATCTGGTTGGCAGATGGATAGGTTGGTTATAGCTGCATAACTATGTCTTGCCTGCAGGCACAATTCAGAACACTGTTAAAGCAATATAAAGTCTCTGTCAAGCTGAACCATTTGGATCAGTAGCAAGGAGAAATAATAATAAAAAAAAGGGAGTTCATTTCTGGGCCTTGCGCATTTATGCTAGTATGCAGAAACTGATTAATTGTCATCGTGTGCTGGTCTGCTATACCTCGGATTTCTACTTCTGGAGTAGATTTTGCATGCTAATATAATCATTCTCCCTCTTGAGACATTAGCAAATAATCAAATGAAAAACAGGATCATAATTTACTGAGATTCGGGCAATTCTCTATGCAAATTTGACTTGTTATTGCTGCTGCCTCGTTAATCTGAATGCCTTTGACAAACTCCTTTGATTTATGAACTCATGACAACTCCAATGTGTATATATTTTGCTAGATTGACATTATCATTAAGAGTGGGTGGACTGAGCTCACATGAATGGCTGATTTTATTCGCTGGTGTCTGCTGCTCAACAGCTGAGCATCTCCTTCTCACAAAGCCCCTGAGCACCAGGCTCTTCCCATCTACCCATCCATTCATCATCTCGATGTTAATTGGCCCAGGCTTTAAGCAAATTTTCAACACGATTTAAAGGCACGATGACACTGATTACTGACCCTCTGCCATACGGTGCCTATTGATTAACCTGACAGAGATGATGAGCTTGAGGGAAACTAGGTGTGTGCGGACCTCAGGGGGGGCAAAAAAAAATAAAAAATTGTTTATGCAGGCAAAACACTTGTCATTATCCCAAAGGCCAGAATTTGTGCTGCACTGGCCCTTAAAACACACTATTGCTTTAAACACCTGCATCCAGTACAGAAAATGCTTGCTTGCTGTAGAAAAATGATTACAAATTTGATGTCATGTGCAGTCTGTATTTTAATCGAGTTCCCTGATAAATAGACCCCCTCAAGCCAATCAAGCCTCACTCTCACCATTGCGTGCGTATACATCAGTTCAAACAGACGCCTGGGCAGGGTATGTTTTTAGCGGTATCAGCAGATCCAACTGCATGTAGGAAATGTACGTGGGTATTTCGGGTCTCTAAGCAAATAATACAGTGGGAAC